GGTAGCGTGGATCATATGAGAGTAAATTTCTGTAGAGACATGAACATATTGTAATTGCCCAAATGATGGAATATGAGTAACATCCATTTTTCAGATTTCATTTTGTTGAAGACCTTGAGGGTTGTATCCCTCAGCAGGAGGGGGATGAGGGATTCTTTGGCAGGTAGGACATGATAAAACAATTTTTTTAGCCTGTGAGCAAGACAGTTGAAATTCTTTTGTTGGGCCCTTACTATTTTGATGGTGATATGAGTGGGATTGTCTTGCCATATCAAAAGGAGTAACATAAGCTATCAAAGAATCAGCTTGTTGATTACCATGGATTAAGGGGCCTGGTAAGTTAGAATGGGACCTAATATGTTTAATATAAAAGGGGGCAGAGCGACTTTGGGTCACCCACTGCAATCTAAGGAACAGATTAAACAAGGGAGGGTCTAAGAAAGCTTTTAAGGTGGTGTTTTCTAGTTCCTAGGTAAGAAATACTGTATATGTTGAATCACTAACAATATTCACAAGGATCAATTTAGTAAGCTCTATAATATATAAAATAGCAGTTATTTCTAATCTTTGGTCTGAGAGGCTAGGAGTTAAAATAACTTGTTGAAAATCCTTACTCCAGACAGTTGCCTTTCCTTTAGAGGAACCATCTGTAAAATAAATCTGTGCATCAGAAATGGGGTTTAGTCATGTAATCTGAGGTATTACACAAGAGTGTTTTAGAAAAAATTGAAAAATAGGGTCCTTAGGAAAATGATTGTCCCCAACAGGGCATTTTGTCTTAGCAACAAGAAAAGTGACTAAGACAACTGCCATATCTTTAGCACCTAAAAGAATAGTTGCATGAAATAGTTTTTCTTGGTTATGTTTGTGGTCAATGCATTACATGTCTTCTTGGCTGTACAGAAATTAGGATGTAAAGAATATTCCATGGATTGGAGACCTAAAAAGATGGAATGGATAACAAGTTGGTAATTTAGTTACCAACTTTAAAGAAAGAAATGTAATGAGTTAGAGTCTTGGGAGATGATCACTTTAGGTGCTTTAATTCCGCAAAGTGAAGCAACAGTATAGAAATTGAAAAAACTTTTTTTCATATCAGCCTGTGTTTTCTTGTACTTGTTTGTCCATGTACAGGTTGGAAAATGAAGGCACAAGTAACTACCTCAAATAATTCACCTTGTTCTGGTTCCTCTCCTTGAATGCTATATTAAGACAGATAATTGTTTTTTTTTCTTAACGGTCATGACTACAAACTGAGAAACATTCCTATGTGATTATATATACCATATAACCTTGTTCAATTAGCCACATTTCTATACCCAGCATGCAGTGTCCCAGGTGGACTTGGTGGCTGTGGGCTGGTGCTGTGTGGATGCTGTGCTCTGGGCAGGTGCAGCTCGCAATGCATAAATTTACAAACACGAATAGGTAACAACAGAAAATGGTATTGGAACAGTGGGAATCAGCAATTTTGCAGAGGATGCTTTGGGAGATGTTTACTGTCACCTTCCTGAAGTTGGGGCAAAATTGAACAGATGAGTTTGGTACTTTGAAAGTATGAAAGCTGCCAGTGAACTCTGTTCTCTATCAGGAGAAGTAACTGAAATTAATGAAGCACTTGTTGATAATCCAGGGCTTGTCAGTAAATCTTGTGATGAAGATGGTTGGCTGGTAAAGGTGACAGTAAGTGAACCTTCAGAGCTAGATGAACTCATGAGGGAAGAAGTGTATTCTTTCATTTCAGTCATCAGTGTTTTGTAGTTTTTAGTGCAGGTCTTTTACTTCCTTATTATTTATTCCTAAGAATTTTTATGCTACTGTAAGATTGCTTTCTTAATGTTTCAGATTTGTTGTTAATATATAGAAATTATGTGTGTTGAATTTTATATTTTGCAGCTTTACTGAATTTCAAATTCCTTTATTAGTTTTAACAGGTTTGTGTGTTGGTTGTTGAGACTCAGATTTTCTACATATAAAATCTCACCTGCAGTTATGATTTGGATGCTTTTAATTTCCTTTTCTTGCCTCAGTGTTCTGGCTGGAATTTCCAAATGCAGTGTAGAATAGAAAATGCCTTCTATGCCATGGCAGGAGCAGGCATGTTTTCCTTTATCCTGGTCTTAGAGGAAACCCTCAGTTTTGTCTTGTTTTTTTATTGATGAGTGTGATGCTCACGGTGGGCTTTCATACATGACCTTCATGATGTTGAAGTAAGTTCTTTCTGTTTCTAGTTTGCTGAGAGTTTTTGTCATGAGATCATGTCGCATTTTATTAAGTGCTCTTTTATGCCTATTGAAAGGGTTATGATTCTTTTAATGTGTATCGCAGATTTATCTTCTGCCATTGAACCATTCTGCACCCATCTCAGAGGTAGACCTCACTTGGTGATGCTGTGTGGTTCATTTCGGGTGCTGTTGAGTTCAGTCAGCTAGTATTTATAAAAATATAAACTTTATTGAACCAAGATTTCCATACCACACAATTTACACGCTTAAAATGTAGGACTCAGTAAATTTTAGCACATTGACAGCGTTGGACAACTATAACACAGTCCATCTCAGGTCATTTTTGTTACTCCAAATCAAAATATTCTACCCATCATCTCCCGGCACTAGCTTGCTAGTAGTTTGTTGATGTTTTTTACATCTACTTTGATTGGGGTATTGCCCTGGAGTTTTGTTATCTTATATCTCTTTTCTGATTTTGCTCTCAGAGTAATTCTAGTTTCATGAAATAAGTTTAAAAAAGCTCCCTCTTCAGTTATTTGGAAAAGTTTGGGACAGTGGCATTAGCTCTTCTTTAAATGTTCGGTAGCATTCACCAGTGAAGCCATCTGCACTGGGCTTTTCTTTGATGGTAGACTGTTACTGATTGTCTCCTTACTTGTTATTAAGTTGGTCCAGATTTTCTATTTTTTTTGGTGATTCTGCCTTGGTACATTATGTTTCTAGGAATTTATCCATTTCTCTTGTTACCTAGTTTGTTGGTCTAAAATTGTTCATAACACTCTTGTAACAGCTTTTATTTCTGTAGGATTAGCTGTCTCATTTCTGATTATATTTGCATTTTCTCATCATAAGTCTGTCAATTTTGCTTATCTAAAAAAGCCAATTTCAGTTTTATTGTTTTTTTCCCTCATTTTTTAGTTTTTTATTTCTACTCTGATCTTTATTATTTTCTTCTTTCTGCTAACTTTGGGCATAGTCCCCCCCCCCCCCCCCCCAGTTTCTTGAGGTATAAGGTTTGTTTATGAGATTTTTTTCTTTCTCACATAGTTTATTGTTACAAACTTTTCTCTTAGTACTGCTTTTGGTGTGTATCTTAAGTTTCTTTTTTTGTTGTTTTTTTTGTACCACGGATAGAACTCGGGACCTTGCGCTTTTGAGGCAGGTGGTGGAAACACTGAGCTAAATCCCCGGCCCCTTATGTTTGTGATATTTTCATTTGTCGTAACATATTTTCTAGTTTCCTTTCTGATTTTTTTTCTTTTACCCATTGGTTGTTCAAGAGTGTGTTAATTTCCACATATTTATGTTTTCCAGGTTTTTTTTATTGTAGTTTGAATCCATTGTGGTTGGAAAAGATTCTTGGTATGATTTCAATCTTACATTCGTTAAGACTTGTTTTATGACATCACATGAGATCTGTCTTGGAGAATATTCTGTGTGTACTTGAAAATAGTATGTATTCTGCTGCTGTTGGGTGAAAAGTTCTATATATGTCTATAAATGTTTTATATATCTATAGTCTGTTTTAGAGCTTGAAGTTCATATATCAATTTTTATGGTATGAAATTTAAACATTTTTAATAATCAAATTTAGTAGTATTTTATGGGTTCTGAAGTTTATGTTTTGCTTAGGAAAACATTTTCATCAGAGGCTATAAAAATATTTCCTGTATTTTCTTCCAGTATTCTTCTGTGTTCCTATTTTTAAAACTTTCAGATCTTTAAGCCATTTAGCATTCATATTTATGTATACATTTGTCCAAATGGAGAGAGAACCATCCCAACAAAATTACCTTGTCAGATTTTACTTAAAAGCAAAAACCTTGGAATTGTATTTACAGGATAACTTGGGATTCATTCATATAAAAGGGACTGTGGGATTTACCTGCTGAATCGATCCATAGTAGTCACATAGGTGATGATGGTATCTTTCTGAGTAGTGACACACTGGAAATAATTTGGAATGGAATTTTTACTTTGTAGCAAATTCTATAATTCTAAATTGATTATGGCTCTAAGCTATCAAAGATAAAATGATGGGTAAAATATAGAGTTTACAGTGTAGTGGAAATGATATACTATATATGTAAGCAGAATATGTAATAACTGAGATGATAAATATTTGCAGAGGATATTTCTGGTACACTAAAGAATGGCACCCAGTACACATGTTGAATATGACATAGGGCCTAAGTCTTAGCCTGTCAGGTTAGGGATGCTTTTTAGAGTAGGTAAAAGTGAGGTAAGTCTTAAAGGACTGATAGGAATTAGTTGGATAAAGGGTAGTATTTTAGAGTGAGTAGGACAGAGGTAGTAGAAAGTGTGAACCAAGTTTTCATGGGCAGGTATGAAGGTCTGTGAGTGATATATGACTTTTCTAAAAGCATCTAGTCTATTTTTTTTTCTGGTACCAGGGATCAAACTCAGGACCTTGTGCTTACCAGGTAGGCATGGCACCACTGAGCTATATCCCCCAGCCCATACAAACATCTAGTCTAAAATGTAAGTGAGGCTGGCTAGGGAGCCAGTAGCCTGTCTGCAGAGGTCCTTGGTTATATGCCAGGTCAAGAAATTGGTATTTGCACTCCCAGCAATCAGCAAATACAAAAAAGATTTTGAATGGAGGGTTAGTGACAAGTAGATTTGTATGTGAGAAAAATCATCTGATGACATTCTGAAGGATAGGTTTGAATGGGCTGAGATGATGCAGGAGTGAGGCAGTTCTTCGGCGATAGTGTAGGTAAGATCTAAGAGTCAGAAGAAGGAAGGAGAGAGACTGTGGAAAATATTTAATAATTGGCAAGCCTTGCCTGTTTGGGAGGAGAAAGAGAAGAGTCAAAGTTGACACCCAGATACAGGTTTGGGTGACTGGCTCGGGGACCAGATTATAAGCGAGGGGCAGGTTTGGAGGATGGGATGGCAGTGGGGTGAGGAGTCCAAGTGAAGAAGGCTGAGTCTCACTCATCTGAGGGGTGCATCAGTGGCGATGTCAGCTGATTCTCAAGTTCAGGAGACAGCTGAGAGCAGGTCCTGGTTTGGTAGTCTTCAGTATATTTGGTAGGTATTTTAGGCAATGAGGAGAGGATAGAAAAACCAAGAGAAAGCATATAGATTAGAAAGAAAAGTAAACAAAAGCCCAAATCTTAGGGGCTATCACACTTAATGAACAAGTAATAATATCAATAACTAATAACATAGTACTCTGTTTGACATGGGTTTTTTTCTTTTTATTTTTTGAGACAGGGTCTCACCAAGTCGTTAAGTTCAGGTTGGCCTTGAATTCACTATGTAGCCCAGGCTGGCCTTGAACTTGCCTTGATCCTCCTGCCTCAGCCTCCCATGTGCTGGGATTACAGGCGTGCACCACTATGCCTGGCTACATGGATTAATTTTAATCTTCATAGCAGTGTTAAGGGCTAGGTACCATTTATTGTCCCTGTTTTTACAAATGAGGAAACAGACCCAGGAAGGCTAAGTACCCACTGCTACATGTCACAAGCCCAAGTTATTGTGCTCCGTTACCTGGGGAGCAAGTAGATAAAGATGACAGAGAATATGGAGAACTAGGAGGGTGCCTCCAAGACAGGGAAGTAGGGTTTCAAGTCAGGATCTGTCCATGATGCCAGGAAGCTGAACACTGCAGTGAGACTAGGCTGGGGAGTAGTGTGATTTAGATTTGTAGGTATCGTGGGAGCCTCTGTAGAGCAGGTTGGCGTCTCAGAGTGGTTTTAGTGGAAACAAGGAGGTGAAGAAATGGAGGCAGCAGTGTGCACTTGGGTAAAATGCTGGTAAGATAGGAGAAGAATCAACAGCTGCAATGGAAAACAGGCTTTTCCTAAAGGAAATGGAGCATGCTCACAGTGCGGGGTTAGGGAGAAGTTGGTGAGAGAGAACGGGAACGCTGATGGAGCAAACTGTGGGTAAGAGTGGACGATCACCACGCCCCCCACTCCCGTTCCGGCGCCATCTTCCCACCCAGCGCTGACTTTCTTCTCACCTGTACCGAGGCAGATCCTCCTAAGTCTCCTTTGGGACTGGCACGTCTCCATCCGTCCGCACAAGGGTCTGTCCTCGGCCCTCTTCACGCTGCACCTCTCCGGGCACTCTCTCTGTCTGTCTGAAACATTCCAGATCGATAGCCCCACCCGGAATCCCGACCACCCAGGTCCTGCCACTCAGCGGATTTCCTGTCATCTCCTTTTCTGTGTCTTACAGTGTCCCCATCCTCGGCATGCCCATCACTGGCCTCACCGGGGCCACTTTGGTCACCTTCCCTTTCATCTGCAGTCGGCCCCCATCAGCACGTACATATTCTCTTTGTTCTGTGGTTTTCCCTGTGGGCCCCTCCACCCAAATCTTCCCATAACCCTGCAGTTTCCTGTAGCTCTCATCCCTTTATTGTACTCACTACACTGTACTGTGGTTGTCACTGAATTGTCTGTTTCCTTACTGATGTAAAATACCAGAGGACAGTGTTTGTGTCTTAATTCCAAAAACATTGGAAAGATAGTGGAATCAAAAGCCCATGTAGAAGACTAAAATCTTGAAAAAAAAAAAAAGAGCACACTGTTCGCTGGGAGTGGACTGAAGGAGGTGAGAAGAGATGCTGATCTCTACATATGTAAGGGTACACAAGAAGTGCAGGGGGTTAGGCTCACAATTTTCTCAGTAAAGTAGATGGTTTCCCAAGAGTGAGGCCTCAGTTTGATGCTTGGGTTGAATAGTGAAGACAGAGTCAGACTCTGGAGGGCCAGATAAGGGAGGCAGATGGCCAAGACGGCCGGGCAGATGGCACACATCTGTCATCCCAGGCACTCACGAGGCTGAGGCTGAGGCTGGAGGGTCCCAAGTTTTAGCCCAGTCTGAGTAGTAACTTAGGAATTTAGCTCGGAATAACAAAGGGTTAGGGATGTAGCTCAGTGGAAAGGCCCTGGGTTCAATCCCCTGTACTGGGGAGGGGGAAGGAGGGGCTATCTCATATGAGGCTTAAACGTGGTGTGGGCCTCTTGCAAATTAATGTCTAACTACTGAAATCAGCCCAGATTTTGTGTCTTTTCCATTAATTGTATACATAGGTTTCTTCAGGGTAGTTTAGAGCTACAAACTGTTTTCACCTATAAACTATGAAGTTATTCCATTTGCCTGTGTTAAAAGTAGTGGTATCTAAAAACAAAACACTGGTCTGGGAGCTAAAATATGTTGCATGTATCCCTACTTAATGTTATGTTTCTCAAATAGTTACCTATGAAAAACATAAAAATTGAGATAAAACTCTTGTGCTTTATTTTTTTAGAGTGAAAATGCCCATATTTCTCTCAATAATAAAAATGGAAATATGCATATTTTGAAAGTTTGTTGTGAACATGACCAAGCTGTGAACCTAAAAATTCGTTCTTTAGGTTGGCAAATTCTGATCATAAAATAACAGTTAATTCCTTTCAACAAAAGAATTTTCTGAGTCCTGCTACTCTTACCAAACATTGGAGACTGATCCACTTAAGAGCACAGTGCTTTACATTAACCAGGTACAGGTACACGTGCACACATATGTATCTATGTACATACATACTGTAAGATATATAGTGGATTACAGTACTGGTTACATCTTTAGTAAATGTGAATTTGGGTCTTGTCATGGCAATGATAAGTGAAGTATTCAGACCCAGCTTGATGGAATGAAAAGGTAGCTGAGAAGCACTTGAATGTTTTCCTTTGGGGATAATCGGTTGCTGAATTCATGCAAAACAAAGTGGTCCCGCTTGCTCCTGTGGATGGATGTACATGCTCTGGGCAGCACGGTATCTTCCAGTGCATACTTTGCCATTGGGAACATGCTGCTGTTATTGTAAATGTAATATACTCTGTTTCTTAATCAGCCATATCCCAGTTTTCCTCAAAAGTATCACTAAAGGTGGTTGTAATTTACACTGTGAAAAGATAGCCTTTTGTTGGAGGAAGGAAGCATTTGTTATTAAAATAGTCTTGAGTATTTCTCCAGTAGAAGGTATTACTACCTCTAAATTCCCTGTGCTAGGTGTAGTCCATGTAGTTCTTTTATTGTTTTCTTAATAATAAATATATTTGAAGACTCCTACGCTTCAACTGGTTTCTCAGATAAGGACTGAAGCAAGTCCTTATAGACAGCAGAGTTCATGAATCGGGGGTATGAGTCTCTGTGCATGAGGGTGTAAATCTGAAGCTGGGCGTCATCAAATATGTGTGGGGATGGCTCGCCCATGTTTCTGTTGATGATTTCCCTTACTCGAGAGTCCAAGCTGACCTGTCAACAGAAGCACAGAAGAGTTGTGTGAGACACTTCTCTTTATAAACCCATCCCTATTTCCCACAGCTTATTTTGACTTTTTTTTGGTACTGGGGATCGAACTTGGGTCCTTGTGCTTGCACAGCAGGCGGCAAAACCACTGAGCTAAATCCCTGGCCCTTTATTTTGTCTTTTGAAAACCCCAAACCTAACAAGTTTATCCAAAAATCCAAACTGCCAAAAAAAGAAACTAAAAGCATAATGAACAAGGACTCTCCAGCTTCAGAGCTATGAGTATCCCCTGGGGTGCTGTTAAGCAGATTTTGGAGCCCCAACCCCAAGGTTTCAGACTCACGAAGTTTGGGGAAGGGCCAGACCTTGTATTTCTCACAAGTTTCACAGGTTCTAAGTAATGCTGGCAGGGAGCACACAGCCTTAGAAGACCACAGCATTGCTTTGCTTCTTTAAAATGAGTGAGCCCGCACACACCCTTGCTAATTTCCTAGATTACTAAGGGCTAAAACCTGGATGCTGCAGGCTTTTCCCCATGAGCACCAGGCCAACTGAAGGACTGGGCACACGCTTGGAGTAGAAGTGCTAAAGTCACTGGGTCTGAGCACCAGTGACACCCTGTCCCAATGTTCCAGTTTTCTACCTTATGGATTGTTGGTGCTCGTGAAATCAAGTTCCAAGGTTATAAGCTTCTGAAGCCCTTGACGATCTGCTTCTACTAATTCTCAGTTCCATCTCACTATTCCACTCAAAAGCTGTCCCGAACCACTTGGGATTAAAGAAGGAAGGAGCCAGAACTGTCTTGTTTCTGTTCCTTCTGTGTGGGATAACCTTTTCCCGTGCCCTGCCTAACTACTTAACCTTCAGGTCTTGGCTTAGATGTCACTCCCTCCCCACACCCTGCAACACAGAGCCCTGCGCCAGCCCCTGGATGGAGGAAAAAAAAGGTTCCTCCTTGCTCCCCCACCCCCAAGTCTATCTTGTGGCAGGAGTCACCCTACAATTCCTCACAGATTTCACAGGGCACTTTGAGCCCATCTGGGGCACTGCATTCAAAGTGATTTGAATTCTATAAATGAGAGCAGAGTAGTTTTCTATATTTTGGAGTAGCCATAACCATGCAGGCGAACATGAACAAATCCAGAAGGGGTTAATTTTACTAAGCGTTCCAGAGAGAAGACTCCTTAGTAGGCACAAACCTCTTTAGGAGAAAGAACAGAAATGTAGTCTTCGTATATTATCCTGGCTTTCTCTTCGATAATGTTTTTATCAGCTTCCTTTTTCAATTCCTCACAGGCCATCCAGAAAAGCATATTTTCTTCACTGAATTCTGTGCGGAGGAATTCCCGGAAAGCATTTCTTCCTGCAGGGGTAACCATTAAGTTGTCGAAGGACTGAGCCCAGGCGCTGACCTCCTCCAGAGTAGGGGTTGGGCTTAGGGGAGGCCCAAAGAAAGGAGGCAAGAGGGAGCCGTTATTGGTAGTTCATTAGAGAATTTCATCCCTAGTAACATCACCTTTCCCTCTCTGACAGTGCAAAAAGGGGACAGGCTTGGCCCTTTTAGGCAAGGAAAGACCTGTTGTCATTTCCTTGAACCTTTGCCGAAAACATACTTGAGATACTTTCTAATTGTTTGGCTGAATTTTGTGGCCAAAATGCCTGCAAACCAAGTTCCTAGAATAACTGCTACGACTATACTTGTTTAATCTAGACAGATCTGGCAATGTTTTTAAATTATAGAAGTAAAAAATCTTACAATAACTTGCCCCCGATTCCTTAATTATCTATGACAGAACCAAGACTTAATACTAAACCTCCTGAACAGCAAGGGGCAAGATCTATTTAATACTTTTCTTTTTTTTTGGTACCAGGGATCGAACTCCAGACCTTGGGCTTGCGAGGCAGGCAGCAGAACCGCTGAGCTAAATCCCCGGATACTTAATACTTAAAAAAAAAAAAAAGTAACATTTGATTAAGAGTAAAGAATATATGTAAAATAAACACAAGTTATGAATGGGAGCACAGTAGTTTTTTCTATGAAGAGTGACAACTCCTGGGAATGTCACATGTATGGGAATATCATTCACCAAGTTGGACTGGTCACTTTCGTGTGCTACCTACCCTCTCACCCTCCATTCTCGAGGGTACTAGTACACTTGGATTCTGGCATTATTTGGGGGTTATATTTTACTTCTATTTAAATTATAGTGAGATCAGAAAGCAAAGTCCACTTAATAGTGATCCTTAATGTCTTTTTCCTTTACCTTTCCCCCCCCAGTCTTCATACATTTATGTGGGTACCCATGAAGAATGTATTCTTTCTTTGATTTGGGACTTTGAGCCTCAAAACTGAAAATAGATTTCTTTTGATTTAAGTTACCCAGGCTTGGGTGCTTTGTTATGGCAATCTTAGCAAACTAATATAGAAGTTTATTAATTGGGTATAGTTTACTTGTAGAACTATTCTGAACCTTTATTTCTTCCTAGTGTACCATATTTGAGTAGCCTCCAAGTTAGTAATTTGCTCAGGGAGTCTTACTGATCATGTTCGCAAGCATGACTTGTTCCTAGTGTTACTGTATTGTCACTCTTCACTAAATATATATGTCCATTTTCATTTCTAATATCATTTCATTGAATTTTCCTCATGTTTCTTGGACCAATCCTAGCAGAGGATATATACTTCATAAGTCTTTTTAGAGAATCAGCTTTTGCCTTGTCTTCATTATATGTTTGTTATTTTATTAGTTTCTGTGCTTACATATTAACATCTTCCTTCTACTTTATGCTTATTAAGGGGAACACTTAACTGAGTAATGATTAGTTGTTTTTTCGTATCAACATTTAGGGTTATGTATTTTTCTCTACTTACTGGATTCCCTACATCTTCAGGTTGATACATAATACTTTCATGCAGATCTATTATTATTATTATTATTATTATTATTATTATTATTATTATTATTAGAGTCAGAGTCTCTCTGTATAGTTCAGGCTGCCTTTGAACTCACTATGTAGCCCAGGCTGGCCTCAGACTCACAGTGATCATCCTGCCTCAGCCTCCCTGAATGTTGGGATTCCAGGTATGGGCCACCACGCCCACACTTGACTTTTTTTAACTTTATGATTTGCTCTTTGAGGAGCTCCATGGAAGTGATCTTTAAAGTATCAAACATGAAGATTTTTTTAGAATTAAAAAAAAATTCTGACTTTGATTTTGATTGCATTGGGTCAGAAAGAACAGTCTATTTAATAATGAGCCTAAAAATATATTAAGATACTTTATGAGGTAATGCTTGGTCGGTCATCATAAATGTTTTACATGTGCTCGAGAAGAATAGGTCTTTTCGAATGGTTGGATGCGGTTTTTATACAACTCGCCTACTTCTTTGTCTATTTGTTTATTTAGGACAGGTCTCACGATGCAGCCCGGGCTGATCTTGAACTCTCAGTGATTCACCTGCCTGAACCTCCCCAGCGCTGCAGTTATAGCCTTGCATCACCAGGTCTGCTTGAAATTGCTGCCTCTTAGCAGCATATATAACTCAGGGAAGAGTGCCAGAATCTTTAGGGTAGCAGCAGATTGGAAGATTGCTTGCTCTAGTGAATTTTTAAACATAGTTTGGGACCATTTTATTTAGTTATATGTAAGTTGCTATAACTTACTAGTGAACCAAACCCTTTAATATTTTAGTAGTGACTATCTGTAAAGTGTTTTTAAATTTTTGGTTTTTGAAAAAAATCTCAAAATTTTGTTGTTTGAGACAAGGTCTCACTATGTATTCCAGGGTGGCCTTGAACTCACTATGTAGCCTAGGCTAGCCTTGAATTCCTGATCCTACTTCCTTAGCCTCCCAAGTGCTGGGATTCCAGATGTGTGCTACCTACCGAACCTTGTGCTTTTAAATTTTTGTAAAGGTTTTGTTTGATATTAATATTGGGAAGGCAGACTCTGGGGTGGACTGAATTTAGATTTTGCCACTATCATTTGTGGAAGGCTGCCACTAGCTGATGTGGCGCTTCCCAGAAACCAGGAAAAGGTGTTTCTTTTCTAGGCAAGATACAGCTTGCCCATACAAATGCAGGCTGTGTATAAACTCTCATTTGCCCCTGACCAGACGCTAGGGGGAGGAGAACAGTGTGCACAGATGTGAGTGTGAATCTCTGAGACAATGAATGAATTACTGAATCTCTTTGGAATACTAGTAGTACCTACTTTATAGAGTGGTGAACGTTAAATAAACATTTGTAAAGGTCTTAGTTTTTGGTACATGGTGCGTACTATGTATTGATTATAATTATCTTAGCTATTCCAGCTATTTGCCTGGTAGATTTTTATTTTTACCCTTTTATTTTCCATGTTTGATTTAACATTATTTGGGCTTGTCTCTGCTACCTTTTTGCCTAATGTTATTCAACAGTAATTCAGTTTTGTGTTTATTTTAGCTTACCAGTATCACACTATTATTATTTTATACCAGCAATAATTTTTTAGATCTACTTATATTTGTATTAATTTCTTTGCTCAGCATTTCTTCTTATAATTTGGACTTTCCATTTGGGATCATTTTTTTTTTCTTCCTGGAAATTATCCTTCAGAAGTTCTTTGCACATTTGTTGGTGGTAAACTCTCTATTTCTGTTTATCTGTAAATGTCTCTTTCTCCCTTAATCCTGAAATATAGTTTGGCTGGATACAAAATTCTAGGTGGATGTTGTTTTTGCATAGCATTTGATGATTCTATTTCTGGTGCCCAGAATTTCAGTTGAGAAGTTTGCTTAGTCTCATTATATATATTTTTAGGTAACCTGTTTTCTCGTGTAGCTGCTTTTCAGTCTCCTCTTTGTTTTCGTTATTCTTCAGTTTCAGTATAATTAGCTCTAGATGTACAGTACATTTATCTTACCTGATATATATTGTGGGTCACACACACACACACCCCTCACACCACATTTCTGGGAATTCATGTCTTTCATGAGATCTGGAAAATCTTAACTATTATTTCCTGCCTCTCCACCTTTAATCGGGAACTCCTGATGTTATGTCAACTGTCACACTAGCCTTCATTTTTTATAGTTCAATCTCCTTGTCACATGGTCTTTTGGATACCTTCAGGTTCACAAACTAGCTCATTAGCTGTATCTAATCTTCATAGGTTTTGTTTGTATGTTTTCTTTTTTTCCTTTTTTTTTGAAATGCTGAAGATTGAACTCAGGGCCTCACATGTGCTAGGCAAGTGCTATAACACTGAGCTACATCCCAGACCTTTTACCTATTTATTTTATTTTTATTTTGAGATAAGGTCTTCTAAGTTATCCAGGCTGGCTTTGACCTCAGAAACTTGCGATACTCCTGCCTCAGACTCCTGAGTAGCTGACAACAGGCAAGCACCATCACACCAGCAGCTGTATCTAATCTTCTATTCCAATAGTACATTTAAAAATTTGAACAATAATTTTTCATTTTTAAAACTTCCTCTTTCAGCATCCTGAGAAGATCATACCATATATTGCTAGCCTGGGGAAAGATCCAAATTCAAAATTCAAAGTATGGTGGTTGTTGTTTGGTACCGGGGATCGAATTCATGACCTTGTGCTTTCAAGGCAGGCACGGTGCCACTGAGCCAAATCCCTGGCCCTCAAAGTATGGTTTTTACTGAATATGTATCGCTTTCACACCATCATGAAGCTGAAACATTGGGAAGGTGAACTATCCTAAACTGGGAACCATTTGGTACTTGCCCTTTGGAAAAAATCCTGCTTTCCTATGCTTAGCAGTCCTAACTGAGTGCTCGGTTCACTCTCAACTTGGTTTTGTCTCTGAAGTCTTTTATCATTTTCTTTCAGACAACGTTGCAGGCTTACACCCCGTCTGTCATTTTGTATCCCTGAGGCCTTAGGATCATCTGTCTATCATCATAAAGAAAAAGCTCCCTGGTTTTGAGGGCTACAGGTTGTATATCAAGAAATGGATATGCGGACAACTTACCCTGATTACCTGAAAATTATAGAAAAACACTTTCCCATATACAGGAGTTCAAAATGTAAATTCCTTATCTGAGCTACGCCACACCAGCGAAAACTAATTTTTTCATTACAAAATTTTTATATTAGTTGACTTTGTTTTTATCTGAAGTCAGATGAATTCATCATGAAAAATGATGTGTAAAGAAATCTATCATAACTCTGGAAGTTATTTTTGAAATATAAACTATAATTTTAAAATAAAAATTTAAAATAATCTACATATGAATCCTGGGTTATTGGGGTTTTTTTGTGAATTTTTTAGTAGTGGGTATTGAACCCAGGGTCTCATGCATGCTAGGCAAGCATTCTGCCACTGAACTATACACCCACCTTTTTTAATTTTAATTTTTTGAGGCACAGTTCTGCTCTACTTCCCAGCTGACCTAAACTTGCAGCCTTTCTGCCTCAGCCCCCTGAGTACCTCGGATTACAGGCAAGTACCACCTTGCCCAGCTAATCCTGGATTATTTTTACAAAAGTTAATTACATTGGAGAAGGTTCAAGTGTGGTAAATTATGATCCTTAAATATGCGAATTCAAAAGATATCTTTTTCCTATCACTTAAGAAATATATATTGAAGAATGATTTTGAAAAAGTTAAAGGTAATGGCAGTAGAATTTTTTTTTTGATACTGGGGATCGAACTCGGTTCCTTGCGCTTGCACAGCAGGCAGCAAAGCGAAGCCACTGAGCTAAATCCCCGGCCCATGACAGTAGAATTTTTAAAAAGAGAGGTCATAAGGTATGTTCCATACTAATAAAGAATCTAAAGACAAAAAAGAAAGCATAGTTCATACAGCAAAAGAAAAGCTAAGGAAACAATTAGGAGGTATTACAAGAAGTCAGCCACAGAATTGGCTGAAAGGCTAAACATATTAGAAATGATCAAAATAACTGACTTAATATAACTGAATCTAATGCCTCATTGAAAGACAGACTCAAACTGGGCCAAAATATGTCATAATACTATTTTTGCAAAAAAATTAAAAATGAGTCAAGAGGCAAGACATACGGGATAAATGCAAGTAAGTATAACAATGTATAAGTAGAACCAGAAGCAAATGGCATTAAATTGGACAGAGGCTCACTTGATATTAACTGGCTATGACTGAGAACAAAGGGCAGCGTGCACTGAGTGCTCGCCTCTTGACAGGCTCTGGTCAGAGTGCCTGGTTGTACTCAAAACTCACAACAGTCCTTTACTGGCTTAGCTACAGCAAGCTGTCATTATCCCCATTTTGCACAGGAAAACTGAGGCAGAATGCAGCTACTAAGTCAAGCACCCAAGGTCCTATGGGCAGGACAGTCAGAGCCAGGACCAGATGCAGGCATTCTGATTCCAGATGCGATGGTCCCAAATAGCCCAGAATATGATGCATCAGGATCAGTAAGTCACCTACCTTTTTTTTTTTTTTTTAAATGAGATTTTGCTATGTAGTCCAGGCTGGCCTCAACCAGGGACCACAGGCGTGCCCCTCCACACCCAGCCTTACCTCCCGTTTTTATCAGACTCACACACAGTGGGAGATTTTAACATGCCTCCCAGACTCTGAAAAATCTGAGCAAGGATAAATAAGAAAAATATTTAAGAAATTCTAGACTATTAGCTTTTTTTCCTCTCAAAAATAAATAATTTAGGCCAGGCATCATGGCACATGCTTTAGTTACTGCAGTCCGAGAGACTGAAGCAGAAGATCTCAAATTGAGGCCCAGCCTGGGAAATGTAGCATGATCCATTGCAACGTAAAAAACGGGCTAGTTACGTAGTTCAGTTTGAAGGCCCTGGGTTCAACCTCCAGTATAAAAAAAAGGCAATTTAATATAAAACTTATTTGATTTGTGCTTTTAAGATATTTGTCTAATGTCCACAATTATAAAGGCCTAACATCAAGAATAAGAATAGTTAAAGTAAATCAACTGGTAATTAGGAAGAAAAAAAGAAATACAAAGTTTGGTATTAAATAAAATAATTCATGTGTTTTTTCAAAGTATTGAAATTTAAAAACAATAGCTATTTAGTATAAATTAATAATTGAGAATAAACAAACTTCTTAAGTGTTGCTGACAACCAAATACGTTATTTCATTATAGTCTCATTTTTAAAAGTATGTAAGAATAAAATTATATCACTGTAGTTTGTCAAGAAGGATCAGTTTATATTTGTGATTAGCAAGGGGATTAGATTAATGGAACTTCTTTTTTTTCAGTACTGGAGGTTGACCTGAGGGCCTGTGTATTACCCCGGCCCATTTTTATTTTTCATTTTGAGAAAGGGTCTGCATAAGTCACTGAGTTGTCCAGGGTGGGCCCGAATTTGCAGTCTTCCTGCCTCAGCTTCTCTGAGTGCCGGGATTAGAGCTGTGTGCCACCTTGTCTAGTTTGGAATTAACCTCCTCTAACCCCACTTAACACAATGAATTAAAAGGGGTTCTGCCCGGGGAAAGTGATGCCGTGCTGAGATTTGATGCTATTAAATTAGAGAAAAATTGTGTAAGTTCAGTTGAAACATAAAATGCAAAAAGCAAAAGGTTGGTATTTTTGTTAGTCAGTGAACTAAAACGTCACAGTTCACCTTTCTTCGCAGGCTGGGAAGTTTATTCTGAGTTCATGGGTAGCTCTTGTGGGTCTCTGCTCTTCTTGGTTTCTAACAGTGAGGCTGTAAGAAAAAGACAACATCATTATGTATCAAGGAAAGTTTATTTTTAATGAATATTTTTAAAACAATTTTAGATCATCAGGTAAAAATTTTTTTAAACATGATTTTGATTGCTTTTCTTAAGAAAACCAAAAATATGACAATAAGGTATCTGTGTGTTCAGTCACTATAACAAAATACACGAGATAATTAACTTATAAAGAAAGAAGGGTTATTTTGGCTCACAGTTTTAGACTTCCAGTCTATGATTGGCTGCCCCATTGTTTTGGGTCTGTGGCAAGGCAGCACATCATAGGAGGGGGGATGGTCCAGCAAAACTGCTCCTATCACAAACCAGGGAGCAAACAGGAAGAGAAAGGAGCTGGGTTTCCAACATCTCCTTTGAGGGCACACTCCCAATGGCCTAGGGACCACCTAGGAGGCCTTACCTTGCCCAATTCCCAATAGTGCCACCCTGTGGCCAAGCATTAAATATACAAGTCTTGGCAACATCCAAGATGCAAACTATAGCAGTATTAGAAAAAAGAAGTATTTATGACAGTGTAGCCTACAGTCAATGAGGAAAGGTTATACATTATTATGATCGCCCAACATGGTGGTGCACAACTATACCCCAGAACTGGGAGGCTGTGGCAGAGAATCACCATCATGAGTTCGGGGCCAGCCTCGGTTACATAGTGAATTCAAGGCCTGTTTGAAGTACATAGTGAGATCCTGTCTTGAAAAAATATATATGTATACATGCTTAACTGCATGAAGAAAACAGTAAAAAAATAAGACTGCCAGTAATATTTAGGGTTTTCATTTCATTTTCTGCACCTTATAAACATACATCCTACATGGCTGTTTCTAGTCAAAATGGAGCTTTTAATACATTTATTGACACATGTAGAAAAATATTAGAGAAAAATCAATCAAAACCTACTACCATTGAAGAAAGTTTGTTTCTTAGATTTTGTACTTGTATCTGTACTTTTATTCCAAGCATTTTTTTTTTTTTTTGTACCAGAGATCGAACTCGGGACCTTGCGCTTGCGAGGCAGGTGCCGGAACCACTGAGCTAAATCCCCGGCCCACATTTTTGTTGTTATTGTAAATGGAATTTTCACATCCCATTTTCTAAGTGGTTATTTTTTGTACATATGAAGGCTATTGATTTCCTAATAGTTTTATGGAGCAATCATTTATATCCCATAAAGTTTACCTGTTTGAAGTGTATAATTCAACGGTTTTTCGTGTTATACTCAAAAGCTTGACCAACCATCACTACTATCCAGAATGTTTTCACAGTCACCGAAAGAAACCCCGCACTTGTTAGCGGTCACTCTTTATTACCCATATCTCCCCACTGCAATAGGCCTAGGCAAACACTGATAATCTTCTTCTGGTCCCTATAGATTTGGCAATTCTGAATCATAACTTATGTGATTTCTTGGGAATGGCATCTTTCTTTTTGGCATAATGTTTCCACAGTTTACTCGTATTGTATGTAGCATACATCAATACTTCCTTTTCTGGTTGAATAATATTACATTATATGCTTATATCATGTTATATGATTGTACATTGTACTATATTTTGTTTATCCATTCATCAGTGGATGAATATTTTTGTTGTTCCACATTTCGGTTGCATGAATCATGTTGCTATGTACACTCACATGCAAGTTTGTATGGATAAATATTTTTGTTTCTCTTAGGTTAGATGCCTAAGGGTAGGATTGCTACAGCATATGGTAACTATTTTTAACATCCTGAGGAACTCTCAAACTTTTTCTTAAAGCAGTTGTACCATTTTACACTCCCTCAAGCAATATTTGAGAGATCTAATTTCTTTATATCCTTGTTAATAGACATTATTGTTGTCTTTTTTTTGGTACTGGGGATTGAACTCAGGACCTTATGCTTGCGAGGCAGGCATGGTGCCACTGAGCTAAATCCCTGGCCTACTGTCGTTTTGATTCTAGCCTCCAAGGTGAATGTGAAATGTTATCTCATTGTGGTTGGATTTGCATTTATTTTGCTAATGACTAATAATATTGAGCATCTTTTCAAGTATTTAACCATTGTACACCTTGGAGACATGTCTTTCTATCCTTTAGTTATTTTTAAGTTATTTGTTTGTCTTTTATTTATTTATTTATTTATTTATTTATTTATTTAATGTTTTTTGGTACCAAGGATCAAACTCAGACCCTTGCTGTCTTTCATTTTTGACATGTAGAGTTTTAAAAATATACTTTAGATACAAGTCCTAAAGACAATTTTAATGTTAATTTATATTTTACTGTATTGAATTCTTTTATATTTGCTTGGGCTTTAGCAACAACTCTCAAAAACAAAAACAATTCTCTTAAGCTTTCCAGGCAGACTTTCATCTTCTACAAATAGGGAGAATTTTACCTCTTTTTTCCCCATTCTTAGTCCACTAGTTGTTTTCTCTTGTCTAATTGCATTGGCTGATACATAAAATACAATGTTAAACAGTAGTAAAGATTGTGGATATTCTTGTGTTATTCTTGACTTTAGCAGGAATGTTTTTAGGGTTTCATCAATTTAAGAGTGGCTTTTTGGTGGTGGGGAGGGTGCTAGAGATTGGACTCTGGGCCTCAAACATGCTAAACATGTATTTTACCACTGAACTACATCTCTGATCCCTAAAAAATAGATTTTTTTTTTGGTACCAGGGATCAAACTCGGGACCTTGCACTTGCGAGGCAGGTGGCAGAACCACTGAGCTAAATCCCCATCCCTAAAACATAGATTTTTATCATTGATGATTTGAGTTTTATCTTGTATTGCTACTATATTAATACTTTTATTTATCTTATTATGTCTTTCTTTAACATTTCCACTCCATTTTATAAGTTTTCGAAAGCTTATTTTCAGCACATCCATTTAATGAATTTTCACTGTATGTGCGTATAGCTGTATTTTTCTTTAAAGGCAAAAACCATTAAAAATGCAAGAACCCTTTTGACTTGTTTTTTTATTCATGGTGCTAGGACTAAAAAGTTTCAATAAATAATGGTTTCTTTAAAATGCAACAAAACAAAGCAAAAGACTTGAGTGGCATTGGGGTGTTATCCTCTGCATGGGCATTAACACCGCCTGACTTGCTGGGCGTCTTTTGTGAGCTAAACACACTGCTGCACAGTGGGTATGGAAAAGCAAAGAGAGAAAGGAATTATGAATTTGACACAAGATTCTTAAGAGAACAGGAAGCTAGCTATACTGTGAACTAAATAATGCAAAATTTGCTTGAAGCTTTGACATTTTTTCCACCTCATCATGTTAAAGTAGAAATATTTTTAAGAGAGAATAAATTCTAGGAAGACTGAAGAATATATTTTTGGTCAAGTTTTGTTTATCAAGGTCGACTGTGATTGTTAACAAAGAAAAAGAAAATGTCAATAGAAGCCAAGGCAGATGCTCACCATGGTTTAGAAATGTTCAGTAAAGATCCATGCTTAGGTATATTTTGAGTTATAAGGCAGGAAAAAATTCTTCAACCTTCTATAAATAAAAAATTCATTTTCAAAAGAGTAAGAGTCTGTGTGATTTCTAGTTTATATCATTAATACCAGAAGGCTGTGGAGAAGAATTTTGAGAAGGATGTCAAAGGGGTCAGGAAACATTTTGCAATTTATCTTTATGGAAAATTGACTGCATTATGAATACCTGCTTAGATAAATCTCAAAAGAATGCTAAGAAAAAATCAGGGAAAGTAGATTGCCTTCCACTGATGTTAAAACAACGTATTTTTTTCCCTTGAGACAGGGTCTTGCTAGGTAGTTCAGGCTGGCCTCGAACTCACTATGTAGACGAGGCTGCCTTCAAACCTGTGGCAGTCCTGCTGCCTCAGTCTTCCGAAGGCTGGGATCATGGGTGTGTGCCACCATGCCCAACTTTATATTTTTGCACTAATTACAAATGTCATTAATTTTGTTCTTGTTTGTTTTTGGTACTGGGGATGGAACTCAGGCCCTTGCGCTTGCAAGGAAGGCGTCAGAACCACTGAGCTAAACCCCTGGCCCTAAATGTCATTCATTTTGAAAGAAAATTGTCTTAAATTTTTTTCTAAGCAAAACTTTTAATCATTTGATTTATTCATCGCCAAGAGGAGATTATTTGCTTACAGCTGGGTTTTACACCTTTTAACACAAAATTAGATGCTAGATACCACATTTGATCCTTTTTGTGTCTATACTGACACTTTCTGTGATTTCCCTCGGGGTTTACTTTTTTTATTTCCTGAAGCACTAAGAACCTTTCTTAGTTCTTTTAGGGAGGTCTGTAAGTAGTAATTCCAGTATGTCTGGAAATGTATAGTTTGAGTTTTCAATTAGAATTTTGAAGACACAACTCTATTGCTTTTTTATAGACACATGATAGGTGCTGTATAAGTGGTAGTGATGTCAAGCAGGTACTGACTCTCATCCCATTTACCCCATGGTGTTTACGACTAGTAGGAAGACTCTGCTCTTGCACTTGTCCCCACCTGCTAAGCATGACCTGAGCCTCCTGGGCCCTGCCCAAGGGAGTGAGAGACAGTAGAAATACCAGCTGCAGTCTCAAAGACACTGTGACACTCTCAGATTCGTGTGCATCTCTCAGAAAATCATCTCTATCGAGCAGTGATGTATAGGCAGAGTGAAAAAATGGGGAAGGGGCCTTAAAATGGTTGGCTGGGTATCTTCCCCAGAAAGAGCAAGCCCTGGACACACACATTTACTCAGCCGACTGCCCACACCTGCCCTGCAGCTTCCTGTTGAGATACTGTGATTCTTGTCAGTGCCAGTCTGCTTACCCATGTGGGAAGCCCGCCTAACAGGTTCCACCTCCTGCCTGAGATCCACCCTGAACCAGCTTTATGATCCCATCAGTCCTTGGAGTGTTCTATTGCTGGGCCCTGGCCACCAGACTGGAATTTCTTGGAAAGTAACAAAAGCCCAAGTCAAGCAGGAGGAGCAGACCAAACCTAATCTTGGATGTGTATTTCCAATCTCTGACTTCTTCCCCAGGGACGCTCCAATAGTTGTAATCATTGTTCGTGATCAGTCTCAGTCTTCTCTACAGCATTGCGAGTCTTGGTCTACTTAGGGCCAAGCCTCCATGCATTTATAGGAATTTAACTGCCTAAAGCAGTGCATAAGTTTGGCTGGCACTAAGCACTTTTCATATCCAGGATTTCAAAGATGCAACCTAACGTGCTTATGATTTCTAGGAGCAAAGTCTATCCATTACTCCACAACTTTAGCAGTGATTCAGTCATGAATGTTTTACATTCAAGTCAGTCAGACATCTTTTTTTTTTTTTAAACAATGATTGTGTACCTTCTTCTACCAGTAAGCTAGCCTATGCTTTTAGATTTTTGTCTCAATTTTAAGCACACATTTTGACATTTCTCTATTAAGAAACAAAATTAAAATGGAAGTAGCAGAAGATAAAATCTGGGCCTCATAATTCTAAACCTGAAGACTCTTCTTAGGGCTGGGAGCAGAGCACTTAGAAGACCCATTTTAAATCCCAACTCCCTCCCCAAACTGTTACATCAAAGGAGTGCCTTTCTTTTTTTTTTTTTTTTTTTTTTGGTAGGGGGATGGAACTCGGTCCTTGTGCTTGCGCAGCAGGTGGCAAAACCACTGAGCTACATTCCCCGCCCCTAAAGGAGTGCCTTTCTAATGTGATCCTAACAGCCTTACATTGTTCTGTAGTTGTTTAACCTATGCTAGCCTGACTTTTAGTATATGAATATAAATTCCTTAAGAACTTGACAATGGTTGCTTATTACTACTAGTTAAAAGATTTTTTTGGTGTTCTTCAGTATTTGGCGTATAGTAGCTGCTTTAAAAAACACTGAATTAATCATAAGTGGAACTATTCGAGGGTACACTTCCCAATCAGTAGCACATTATTTATTATTTTTTTAAAAGAGAAAGTCCCAAACCTTACCACGAACAGCTACAACAGCAGCACCAGCAGAAGCAGCAAGCATTGGAGCCCTGACTCCCTGCTCCGCTCTGGTCCGAGGTGGAGCCTGGAGCCCCCTGTGGGGCTGTCTGCCTCTGTCGCATCTCCATGCATTCGGATCCCATAGGCTGCCACAGGGAGAGGGAGAAAGAAGGGTGGGTGGATGGGGGTGCAGAGTTATGAAAATGTATGCACAGGGATTTGGCTGTTAAGACGCAGTGGAATTATATCCAGGGTCATTTATACTAATTCTGGTAAAAACTGCTGCTTAGACTTACACTCCATTAACTTATCAAATAGTTATTTAATGTCTAGCATCTGCCAAACAGGGTGATAAATCCCAGGAATAAAACGGCTCACAGAGACTCTTGCCCTTAGGCGTCACAGTTTGGTAGAGACAGACAAATACAAGCACGAAGACACTTCAGTAAGATGCCACAATAGGCACATTTTCCTCTTCAGGGTCCCTCTAGACAGAAGCGAAGGGGAGCAAGTTGTAGCTCACAGTTTAGTTAGGGCTGCCCAGGAGGCCAGGGTACAGAGAGCGAAAGAAGCCACGCCAAAAGATCAGCCACGCTAACAGAGCCGTCTGAAAGGTCAGAAGAGCAGGTGGCCCTGGCAGGCTGTGTCTGAGGCCAGACCCACGAGATTCAGATAAATCTTTACCAGCTTCATCACCATGAAAAGGAACTCAATGCTGTATCTGTGAAGCACTTAGAACATAGCCTGCTTCACAGTAGTTACTCAGTTATTCCCAGGAGCAAGGCACTGAGCTAGACTGTGGCCTTCCCAGATCTGCTGCCATCTTAGGGACAGTCCCTCCTGCCCACCTCAATGGCAGTCAAATCACCAGCCCTTGTTAGAATTTTTGCAGATAAGGTCTAGTTCACTAAATTGCCCAGACTGAACTGCACATGGTGCTTCTCCTGCCTCAGCCTCTGAGTGCTGGCATTACAGGGGCCACCCGACTCCTTTATTTTTAAGAGAGGAAGTCTTGCAAAGTTTCCCTAGCTGCCTCAATGCATCGTTGTTGTCCTACCTCAAGCCTCCCAGGGACCTGCCACTGCCTGTGTGCATCGCCACTTGGGATATTTTGATTTTATTATATTTGTTTATATTGAGTAGGTCATGTTGTCTTTTACTCAGAAGTTTCTTGTTTTGTCTTTTTAGAGGTAGGGAGGGAGGTGTTCTTGCCCACTTGTTATTGTCCCCTCTCCCCCTTTTCAAATTTTGGAATCAGCTTGTCAAAGTTCCAAAAGTAATCATATTGGCATTTTTATTAGAATTACATAAATTTACAGATTTACTAGTGAGGAATGATATCTGAGTTTCTTTTAATGAGTCTGGCATCTGAGTTTCAGGACAGCAACAGAGACGCATAAAAGAGTTTTACTGTCCCTCCCCATTCAAAGTGATGCCATGGTCACAACACCCAGAAATTGTGCACAGCGCCTAGCCTGGCCCGAGCTGGTGAGGCTTCCCAAGCAGGAGTGACTTCTTGGTCAAAATGTGGTGGTACAGACATCTACCAAAGTCCTAGCCACGTTTTATGGCAGCACTGAGAGCAGAAAGAGTTCCGAGTCCCTTTCTGCGTGTGGCGCACAAACCTGGGGCTCCAGTGCTTCCGGGCTTCAGGTTTTTAGCTCATCTGTGACTTTTCAGTGGAGGCATAGACCAGCAACTGTTCACTTCATTCAAGGAAACTGAAGTCCAAGGACAAGGCAGCACAATCTCTAAGCGAAGATGTTTTGAACAAAACATGCTCCAGGTAGCTACTGTCTTCCAAGAGATGTCGAAGCAACTTGTCTCATTAAAACAAGAACAAAACCAAAACCCAACTGCTTTCCAGAAGACTGTGATATGTACCGTCCAGGGGTTTCAAGGGACTCTTAGTTTATTTTATTTTTTTTGGTACCGGGGATCAAACTCGGGTCCTTGCGCTTGCGCAGCAGGTGGTGAAACCACTGAGCTAAATCCCCGGCCCCAGGGACTCTTATTTTAATATCTTTGTTAACATCCAGTTTTCACCATCAGTACACGAAATAGCTGTTTCTTTAAATCTCTTATGTGTAGTGTTAGTATTCTTCAAAAAAGTCTTGCACATTTTTGATAGGTTTATTCCTTTAGATGGATTTTGCTGCTGTCATAAACAACATTTCTGTTTCACTCCCACCTCTGTTCTTTAAATAGAGTATAGGAAGGTTAAGAATACTATACTGAATTATCCTATAGTTCTAGCAGTCTTCCTGTTGATTCTCTTGCATTTTCTAGTTTGATAATCATATTGTGTATAAATAATCATACTTGTCTCTTGTTTGGTGTTCCTTTCTAAGGGATCAAAAATTGTCCTTCCAGCGTCTTATTTCATTGGCCAAGAAATTCAGTAAATATTGAGAAGGATCCAACATTCTGGGAGGGCTGAGGCAAGATTACAAGTTTAATCCACCACGGGCAACTCAGCAACTTAGTGAAACCCTATCTCAAAATAAAAGTAAACCCAAAAGGAGGGGTATGGCTCAGTACAAAGGGCCTGGGCTCAATCCCCAGTACTGCAAAAGTAAATAAATAAAAATGAATAAATAAAATAAGGGAAATACTATTAGATATCTTTGTCATTGTGCTTTCTTTAATGAGAAGATTTGTAATGCTTGTACAATGTCATATGTTGGAGATTTGTAGTATGCTGGAGGTTTCTGGAAGAAGATATCTTTATAATCCCACCAGTAGTTAACATATTTTATTTGTTTATACACATCTACTTCTTTGTAAATACCTAAAGAATCTTGGTGACTTAGTGAGCAAACTCTGAGAGAACATCATAAGGTTACTGAAATAAAAATTCTGCCTAGGTCTGCCCTTACACATTTTTTGGAAACTCCTTTCTTGAGGTCTAATGGGAACACCATAAACTGCATATGTATAATGTGTACCATTTAATAAGTTTGACATTTACCTGTGAAGCTATCCCCACAATCAAGGTGGTGAATACATCACACAACCTCTACCCTCTGCACTCCCTGCCCTAAACAACCACTGATTTGCTTTCTCTTTGTCCATTAATTTGCATTTTCTTGAACTTTATATAAATAGAATCCTACAACATCTCCTTTTTGGTCAAGTTTCCTTAATTTAGCATATTTTTTTTGAGACTATTGCATCTATCAATAGCTCATTTCTTTTTATTCTTGAGCAGTATTCCATTGCCTGGATGTACCATAATTTGTTTATCCTCCCACGTATTAGTAAATATATCTTTTTGATATCTGTTGAAAAATATTAAATAGATTAGACTCTTTTTATTTATTTTATTTTTAATTTTACTTTTTTGGTACCAGGGATCGAACTCAGGACCTTGTTCTTGCGAGGCAGGTGGTGGCACCACTGAGCTAAATCCCTGGCCCTAGACTCTTCTTTTAAATATGAAAGTTACCAGATTAAAGGAGATGAGAGAGGTTTGTTACTGAGGCTGTCTTCAAATTTATTGCACTGTATACAGTTGCAACAGATTTTTGTGACTTGTCCTTCCATATGGAATAACTTGATAATTACATTCACTGGTATTTCTATTTAATTACTAGTTGTTAATCATTTTTCTAATTTACAATTCCTCACTCCTCTTCCTCTCCCAGTGTTTTGTGTTTCAGTCCATCTTTGTGGAGTTATGATTTGGCCACATCTGTTTAATTTTACCTTGGAATCAAGGTAGCATTTTTTGTATAGTTTCTCAGGATTCTTTTTTTTTTGGTACTGGGGATCGAACTCAGGTCCTTGCACTTGTGAAGCAGGCAGCGGAACCACTGAGCTAAATCCCCGGCCCTACTTTCTCAGATTTATTAAACATGGTTCAGTAATTTTAACATCTTAAAACATTTAAAACTTTTATATACAAGTGTACAGAAACACATACCATTCCTATAAAAACTTATTAACAACATCGAACCTCTCTGTCCCCCCAAATTCTAAATGAACAAGCATAGCTTTCATGCAGTTACTACATGCCAGCAGAAGTATCATTTATACCACATTCTGCTGAGCTGTGGGAAAATATGAGAGCCAGAGAGGAAGCCAAAAGTGTTAACAGAGTATGAATGTTAAAAAGAAGCAAATGCTGGGGTGAAGCTCGGCGGAGAGTCCTTGCCTACTATGCAGCGAAGCCCTCAAACTGGATCCCAGCACCACCGAAAAGAAAAGAGGCAAATGTTTAAGTCTGTTAGGTTTTTAAAAATTTACTGAGATAAGAATGTGAATTTCCTTCTTTGAATAGTCTGTGAAGTGAATTGTACCAATACATTTCTTCATGTTGAGTCACCATTATTTTATTTTTTCCCAATGAAAAACAACTTTTACTGAGATTCCACCAGTTGCAGAATGTGTTCCTAACATTAAGTGCCTTTGTCCTTGGCAATTTGGTCTTTCTTCAGTGGTGCATTAATGCTTTCTTCTCCTTCATGATCTCTGGAAGTGGCAGTGGTGTTAAGGAACTTAAGGTCAGACTTCCCTACAGCCTGCTGTTTGTCTGCACTGGCAAGGACTTGCAGAGGGTGGGCGCCCACTTCTTGGTTCCCACCACACAGTCTTTCTGCATGACAAAGCCAATGGTCACCTCACCATGGTGGACAAAGCCACCCAGAAGGTTGATGCTTTTGCTAGACAGGTCATAATTGGTGGAGGCGTTGTGCTTAATCTGCTCGCCATCCTTAATAAGGTAGCCCTGACCAATCTTGTAGATCTTCCTGTTGATCTCCGTGCGGTGATGGTAGCCTTTCTGCCCAGCACATGCCACAGAGAAAGCCACACAGGCAGGGTTCCGTGCTCTTATACAGAGAATTTTGAGCAGCCTTCAGTGGATCTTGTGGGGCAGCTTCTTGGTGTGTTAGCGACTGGTGACCCTTTTGTAGCCTTTGCCCTTTGGTCATCCCAGTGACACTGATCATTTCATCCTGCCCAAAGACCTGGTATATGGAGATCTGTTGCACCAACCTCTTCCAGGCCCAGTCCAGCTTCTTGGCCACAGTGCTCCTGTTCACCTGGATCTCCATGAGGTGGGCCTTCTCCTGCTGTAAATGAAGCAGGCACATCTGGGTGTGCGTGATAATGTCAGTGACCCGGCAGTATTTCCTCTCATGCT